GTTTTTTAACATTAAACCATTTAGAGGTTGGTTTAATGTTAAAAAATGTTAATTGGTTTTTAACTTCATTTATTTTGGCAAGGCTCTTGGATACAATGAACAGTTTCTTAGTCCGTTGAAGGATGGCTTCATAGTTTCTCTACATATTTAGCACTTCTGTATATTATTCTGCACATACAAATTAAGTGGATATTTTTGGGGTAAATGAAGTTGTCTTTAATTTTATGGAAAGATAGGATTGGACCCATCATCTCTTCAAAATTCTGGGCAGGTATTGCTCATAAATGTTCTCATTCAGGATTTCAATTCTTCCAAATTAAGAAGTGCCTCCAAAGTATTAATTTCCACATGTCAAGCATGACTAGGATCAGATACACTATGTGAAGTGTAACTAAAAGGTATGTAAATAAAGTAGATCACACATATAAGCTGAACATTTTTGAAAGTACAACATTTTGTACAAGAGAGAGCTGAAAAGGTCTAAGTGGTAGACTTACCTATTACCTCAAGGTGTGTTTTGTAATTGTACCTCTTAAATGTGTATGATTGCATTTAACCTCTTTTCCCCAGACAAAATTTCCCAGAGCAAATATTCTATGCATTGTCGTCTCAGTGCGTCTTAGCTTGAACTGAGACAACCTGTGAAGCTGAAAGGTTAGTTTGGCCTTACATCTCTTACATTCAGTTTAATTAATGCATGGCAATACTTCTGCTCATAACTTATCTTCTCATAAGTTACAACACAGTCATTAGGTGATAATGGTATTCGGTCATTCAGCTCGTGCAGCTGCAGTATCCCATAATCATACTTCTTCATATCTGCTGTGAGAAATCTTTTTGAAGTATATCTCGTTGAATTCATTCAAACCAAGAAATTACAAAGCTGATCAACGCAGCCATTCCTTTTTAACTTCATGTACACAGTGTACTCTATGGGTTCTTTCAGGGCTACCGTGACCTACCTAGGAATCCACTCCAACAAATCTTTAATCTTGTCCTCACCTAAGTAGTTCCATGGGTCTTATTCAATAACTAGGTTGCGTGTGTGTGGGAGTTTGGGGGGCATTAAGAAGTTCGTTGTCAAGATGAAAAATATGTTGTAATACATGCAATATTAACACTACTGAAAAGTATTTCTGAAGCGATCACTTGAGGATTTAAAGATCTCCTTTCTTTTCACTTCCTAAAGAGAATTATATTTAGTAAATGTTAAGTTACATTTCACAATATAATTCTTTGTGTAAAACAATTACTTCTAAATTATATATGTTCATAGAACAATTACAAAATATAAGTATTACATTTTCTACTTGCATAATTATGCTGCACTCTTAAGTTCTTCTGTTTCAGAGCCACTCAGAGTTTTCTGGAAGAGGAAAGTGGTGGTACCCCAGAGGCCTTTGTGGGCAGTTTTCTGGGCAATACTGTGCTGTTACCATCTAAGGCACCTTCGTAGACTGGGTTTGTCTGCTGCCTATCCATGTACTGGGTATTGTACCATCATCCTGGAGTTGTGGCCCAGGGTATAGACTGAGTGAAAGCACCAGTAAAATTAGAGCAGTGAAGTAAGTAGTTGTTATAAACTAGGAATTACTTTTTCTGCTTTATTGAGCCTCCTTTACGCTAAAATTGTAACAGTGTCCTAGATTTATCATAACTTTCCATCTATCTCTTAAATTTTATGTGACTTTAAAAAAAAAAAAAAAACAGTGCTCCTAAAAGTCTCATGGGTAATGCTGTCTTGAAGAAGACAGGTTGTTAGGGACTATTGCAGAGGCACCCTCACAAATTTCTGCTTCACTCATAATCCTGCTAGCCTTGAAGAGCCAAAACTGAAGATGGTAGAGGCCACTGTAACCATGCTTAATGGCGTGTTCTTTACTCAAATATATTCTTTCCTCATAACCCATGAACTGGTCGAATCCCTGTCAAAATTATGGTACTTCCTAAGAAAGTAACTTTTCCATTTATTTAACCATTTTTATTCATTTTAATACTGTTTCATCATCCATCACTTTTACCTGATTTCAGACAAACCTAAGAATTGACAAGGTTCTGAAGATAATTAATCTGTCAGATCATTATTTTCTATGTTATCTAAAAGCACTATTACTTAAAACCTATTTACTTTTCTTCCAAAAGCTGCCTTGAAACCTTTATCTAGCAGCTAATAATTTTTTTTCATAGACTAATAGCATCCCATAAACTTTACATTTCTCGCTTCTTTGCCTTGTGGGGTTGGATAATTTCTGTTTTAAAAACATTTCATGCATACTTTGCCTGTCCTGCCTCTTAGCTTTAGCCTCACAGATGATGTTTTCTTTTTCAGTATGGTATAGCATCATAAAATATATTTTATATGTCCCTCTCAGCATTTTCTAGATAATTAGGTGAAAGTAATTGGCAAATGTCTATTCTTTCTGTTTTGAAACAACATTTCAGACTTGTGATAACAAATTTTCTTCTAAACAAAGAAGAGACTTGGTTTTGATGAAATCATATTTTACCTTAATTTTCTAAAGGTTTAAAAGTGTGAATTTTCTAAAATCTGAGAAACAGCATATATTTACTGCAGATAGCAGTCAGTTTTGAGAATAACAATATTTATAGTATTTGTGTTTTTCCTTTTTCACAGACATGTTAATTGCTGGTATTGTAGACTGACATCTTTACTGAGTTGATAACTAAACCATCCATCCAAATCAAAGGTTGAAGAGCCAAGAAGCTGTTTCTTTTACAACAGTTCACTTAACTGAAGTAGTTTTGTATAGATTTATTAGTACATGATATCTTCTGCTGTAACATTCACTTCTTCTGTTTTAGGCTTAATTTTAGGAAAATTAATCCCACTGATGGCTATTAGCAGCAAATTCACTGCGTGTGCTGTGGCACTTGCCACACAAATCCAAAAACAGTCTTCAAAGCGTTCTTCTAAGATAACAAATCGAAAAACATTTTCCCGAAAATTGGCAATTCTTTCTGTGAGGCGATGAAGTTTCACAGCAGCCATAAAGCTGGTGACTGCAAGTACTACAAATCCACCTGCAACAAAATGAAAGAAGTATTCACCCTTGTTATATAATCAAAACAAGACAGACATTTTGATTGTGCTTCAAAAGACTTACTGAATACCACAGTGAGCAATATACAGAGTAGGGATAGACATAGGCATGGCTTAAACACCTTATTGTATGGGCAAACATGACACCAATGTTTGTAATAAAGTCCTTTTATCAGTGACATGGAACCTAAAGGCTGGCATTCATAGCTCCTGTTAAATGTTGACTAGACACCATAAACGAAGATGCCACCTGTCAGTTCTGTTTAGATAGATGAGAATTCACTGTTAACTTCATTTTATTTACAAGTATTCGAGTCAACAAGATATTTAATAAGGCAAGAGAAGGAACTTTTACCATTTTGTGTGAATGTGACTAGTAAAAAGTGCTGGTAAATAACTTTACCTGCAAGGAAGTTCCAAAGGCATACTCCTGCTGGACCTTTAATAGCCCGGTAAGGAACTTTTATTGCATTAAGAATGCAGAATCCAAAACTGACCAGAGAAAAGCAAATGGCCACACAGAGGAACATTATGATCATCACATGCAAGCCTGTATTCAACTTTTTCACCATGTGTGGGAAAACTGTCAAGAAAAAAGAATCACATATTAAGTATTTAGTTTTTCTTGATGACGGTAAACATCACACTGTGCTGGTGCTTCAAACTCAAATTATACTACTTTATATTTTTTACAGAGGTGTTCAATTCAGCTAGTTACACACATCTTAGTTCATGATGTTTTATTTTTCAGTATATCAGACAAACCAGGGATATTCTGCTACAGGTATAATCCTTTACATAGGGTCTGTGAATAAGGATTCAGGCTTAAGTCTTGTTTATTTATCTAGCTGTGTTAATGTCTTTATCACCACTACTGTATTGTCTGCTCTTTTTCATCTCTGTTCCTCAAACCAAATTCATGGTTTTGAGCTTCCAATTCCTGTCCCATGCTTTCAGTCTTATCCCTTTGAAGTCTGACAGTCCCAGTTTCCTTGTCCAGGCCCTTGCTGCCTTAAATACTATGACTTCTTTCTGTGTTTATTTTCTCATGTTCTTTCTCTCTCTCCCTTTCTTCACTGCAGCTCAAGTGAGATCTGCCCTAATTTCACACTTCTAATCCCACAGGTTTTCACTTTAAGATTCCGATTCCCTTCTTGGTTTCTCATCTAGTGTTTATGACTCCTTTATGCCTTTCTGGGTGTCTGGCAGAGCTTTAGCTACATCTGTAGGAAGCTTGTAAAGTACTGAAGTCAGATGGGCTTTCAGTGAAGTGCTTACATGTTCTGCTATAGGCATGAGCTCTCCCTTGGCAGCCTGTTACTCATCTGTCTCTAAAGAGTGATAACTTTCTTGGTTTTGTCTTCACAGACTCAATTACTTAATTGGGGGGCCAGATTGGCCAGCAGCAGGGAAATGTGCACCTGAGTATTTAGTTTATCCTGCAGCCCTTTAGTAAGAGAATCAGAAGAAATGTGAGTAGGGAATTGTAGGTGACATGCTGACTGACAGGAAAGAGAGAGGCTGATCGAGAGGAACCCTAAAATACAAGATGATCAAGAAGAGACCTTCTGGTGGTGTAGCACTGCACACTCATACATGTTTTGAAGAATTTACTGCTTAATTACTAAAAAGCTACTAAAAGGAAGGTACATTGTGTTATAAACCAATAAACAGATTGCTTCCTGTGCTTCATAACTGAAAAAAAAGTCTAAACAAGCCACATAAAAAGTAGGCAGTAATAATTGGTAGATGTAACAGTGAGCGTCAGGCATACAATCTGGTCATGACATGATGGAATTCTAGTAGATTATGTAGAAAAATTCATACTGTACATATTCCATACAAAAATTCAACAGTTCTACCTCTTCAGTAGCTCATTCTGGGGTCGTAGGTGGGCCTGGTATACATATGAGCTACAGAAGAGACTCCAACAAGAAGAAGGGAGGGAAATAAATGAGAATCAGAAGTACATATGAGAAATGGGAAGCCAAAAACTAGCTTCCTATCTTACTGGAAAATAACTGGCAGTGTAACAACAAGGCACATAGAATTAGGCCTTCCTACAAACCAGCAGAGATTTTTGAGTAATTGTAAGGATTATTTGGTCTCTTTTCTGAGGCTCTCAGCCAAATCCCCAAGACCTGACCAGGGAGTCTGGCTTATTATGCAGAAATAAGAATCCTCAGGAAGGATATTGCCATAGAGGTTCCTGATACATTCCAGCAGTGTTTGCCATGCATAGGCAAAATGCCTGGCTTCCCCAGCTCGTTCTCAGAACCTGATTCAGCTGTCAAAACATAAGCATTTTATGCCAGCTTAGATGCCTTAGGACTATCATAACAACCACGTGGGTCTAACATACATGCTGCATTATGTATGGGACACCTCCAGAAGTAGTAGCTGGAGACCAGATGATACACCTTGAGGAGTACAAAATAATACTGGATACCTATTATTGCAATTGAGTCATGCTGTCACTGTCCCAGATAAAAAAGAGTGTGCCAGCCATAAGCCTACTCTAGTTAACACAGTGAAAGGCATTGTACTAGTAACAGTAAATTATTGCAAATTCCAAAGTGTCAGAGCTACTGCAGTACTGCAGTGTTTGAGGTGCTAGCCTTGTTTTGCTCTATGTGATGTCCATTTATGTTAACTCATTCCACAAGAAAAGTCTCACAGTTCTTGCTCCCCAGTAAATTCAGAATGCTTGTAGATTAAGGGGGACATTCAAAGCGAAAACTCAGAACCCCCAGAGTGAGTTCTGCTCACCCTTGTGCAAAAGTATTTAACAGCTTTGTGTACTGTTGTTTGAAACCAGTACTGTGAAAATATCAAACCTGATAGTTATTAGAATATTTAAAAGGGAAAATCTCTGGGCTACTTGTTGACCTAAATGCATATTTGTACCCATTGCACTTAATGACCCAATTTTAGAGTTCTAACAGGGAAAATTCTTACTAGCTTCAGTGACAGCTTTATTAAGGAGTATAGGATCATGTACTCCAAATATGAATCGATATAGTCCAGAGTGATGGTGGAACCTTAGGCCTTCCTCTCAGGTTACAGAGTAAAAAATCAGAAAGTTTATTAAAGAGTCCAGAAGGTTGTACAGAGATTTAAAGGAGATTGGCTACTTTTTTTCCTCATTCTCTTTGACAGGATAGGATGAGAGAACTGAGACTGGATGACCATGACTGCTATATCCATGTCATGAAGTTGCAGCTGCAGTCAGAGCTTGAGCAAGAACTTGGTTATTGCAAAAGCAGCAGGTCCAAATTTATCCAGCTTAACAACTGGTCATGCTGATCTAAGCAGAGGTTGCTCCGGTTCTTTTCTCCATTCCTTCTGAAGTCCCACAGTCCTACCTGCCTTCAAGTTTTTATAGAGGTGCTTGTGCAGTTGTGTAGTCAGCCGCAATCCTATAGGAAAACAACTATTTTTTGGTAGGTTAATTTTTTTGGCCACCTTAACTTCTGAACTACACCACCATAAATACCAGAGACATTGCAAAGGATAGGGCAGGATAGCACTGCTGTGGGCTAGGGAGAGGGTGAGACTGCAGCAGCTTCAACTCATATTGGTTTAAGTTGCAGTCAATCTGCACACTGAACTAAAAATCTTCAATGCAAATTATCATTTTCTCTACGGCACAGAATGAGTGAAATTTGGAAATCATCCAGAGTACAGCTGAGTGCTTTTGAGACCTCAAGAAAATCTTTTATGTTAAAAGGAATAAATTTATAAGAGTTTCTACATTTTTTAAGAGTTCAGCATTTTTAACTCCAAAGTTAGCAGAAAAGAAGGTAAAAATTTCTTCAACATGTTAATAAACTTAGCAGTATCTGCTATGGCAGACATTTGCATTAGGACAGGTAGAGAAGTACAATGATGTGGCCAAGTAAATAAATCTCTGCTTCCTAAAGGGAAAAAACCTCAGAGAAGTTCAACAGAGAAGGTAAGGACAGACAGATGGCGGAGAAACACTTGGCATGGAAAGAGTCAATCAAGGGGAAAGTGTGATTTACAGGGTCATCTGCAGATGCCTTTGACTCCCTTCATGAGGCTAAAAGGAAACTCTCCATTTAGCCTTAGGGATTTTTTTCCCCATCTTGATTCCAGGATTATAGAACATAACTGGGAGCAAAAAGTGTGCTTGAAATGACAGGGATTTTATATTCACACTCAGACACCAAACCATAATGACCACAAGTCAGCCACAAATTTATTTAGTAATAACAATTAGCATTCTACAAGGTCTGTAAGCAAAAAGAATAGAGAGCTATATTTGAACTAGACATTAGACAAAAGATTCAACCAAAATTGTACTTACTTGTGAATTTGGAACGCCTCCCGCCCAACCCACACTGGCGTATTTTGCCGCCCCGAAAGAGTCCATAGTAAATTTCTCCAATGAACTTGACCAGCTCTGGATCTGTGGCATTGACCAAATCAGCTCCTGTTTTGCAAAGAATCTTTCCTGTCATCCACTTTGGGGTCCCCATTGCAACAACAATTAAGATAAAAGACACAAAACTTATTAGAGAAGCCAAGGCAAATAACGTCTTTTTAAAGCAGCCAGGCATCCTAGTGCTTTCAAGGGATCATCTCCAAGGCCTCTCTGCAGCAGTCAGGCATATTTCCCATTTTTTCTCATGCTCCGAAATCCACAGCTGAATAGCAGGCATTTCAAAATACTTCTCTTTGTATTTTGAAGCTCCAGCAATTAATCTGTACTGCTAAAAATCAAAGTCTAAAATATGTTTTGCTGCGACAACATCCTGAAATGGCTGCAAGTAACAGCTTCATTATGCTGTAGTGCAGTGATGCTTCTTTCTGCAGCAAGTAATCCTATCTCTATCGCCTGGCTAATGTTTCATCAGAGGCTTAATTGTCATGTTCAAATGACATCAAGTTCTTTACTGTAACCTCATGTAAAGAAAACTAAAAGAATCCAGGTTTTTTAGATTATTTAAAAAAGCGAATAAACGGCTGTGTGCAAGGTGCAAAGCATTAAAACCAGATAATTTGGCCGGAGGATTCGGCTGGCACCTCAGCCGTGCTGAGCTACCTTCTCCCGGCCCTTGCTCCCACCCAGCCTCTAAATGTCACAGCTGTCACAGCTCCCGCGGCCGTCCTTGCGCTCGGAGCGGTGCCTTCCATCGCTAAAGCCTGTTAGCTGAGGGACAGAAGGGATGTGTCTGGAGTGCTCTGAATGACAGCGGGGCGCGCAGAGCCCCCCGCAGCCGGGGAGGACCGGCCAGCCGTGCCGTAGCCCAGGTGCTCGGGCGCTGCAGCGGCGCAACTCAAGCTACAGGTGCGATAAAGGAGTGCTAAAGGAAACCGGCCATAATTGCCAGCACTTCTACGGTTACCGCTACTCGAGCCCTGTGGGGACCTTCACAACCACTAATTAATTAATTAACCCCCGCAGTAGCCCTGGGGGCGGGTAACAGAGTCCGTCGCTGTGGCTTGGACGAGGTCCCGGGACTTTTGCTCCCGGCTCGGCACAGTCCTGGGCGGGCAGAGCCGGACCCGCCCCTCGCACCACCCCCGGCCGGCGCTGCCGCCCCTCTCCCGCCCCTTGGGGCGGCCTCATCCGCGGGCGGGGCCGGGCCGGGCCGGGCAGCAGCGGCGGAGCCGGGTGTGACAGCGGGCATGGCGGCGGGCAGGGTGCTGGTGTACGGGGGCAGAGGGGCGCTGGGCTCCCAGTGCGTGCGGTACTTCAAGGCCAAGAACTGGGTAAGCGCCGGGCCGGGGGGTGGCGAGGCGGGGGAGCCCCGCCGGGGGGAGCGCCCCTGCCCCACCGGGCCGGGCACTGCGGGGCCGATAACGCGCCTTCCTCTCCCGCCGCAGTGGGTCGCCAGCATCGACCTGGCCGAGAACGCAGATGCCAGCGCCAACGTGGTGGTGAGGGCCACCGACTCCTTCCCCGAGCAGGCCGAGCAGGTGGGTCGGCGGCGGGCGCGGGGCTGGCAATGCCGAGTGAGGAGGTGGAGCGGTGCGCTCAGCCTACCCCCGAGTGTGTGCATCCCTTCTCCCGAGCGATGCTCTCAGCCTCCCCTCAGGTGTGTGCATCCCTTCTCCCGCGGCTGCGGGAGTGCGTCCGGCCTCATGCAGGTAGCGGTTCTGCAGCCGTACCGCGAGCCCCAAGGTCCTTATGCTTCTGCTTGTCGTTTCTTTTTCTTTTTCTTTCTTTTTTTTTTTTTTTTTTTTTTTTTTTTTTTTTTTTTTTTTTTTTTTTTTTTTTTTTTTTTTTTTTTGTAATTCTTTTTAACTGCACGTATATGCAGAAAGATCCTGGATATTGGAGGTTCAGCACATAAGGCAGTTTGCTTTGTTTTTTCTTTGTGACTTTAAAAGTTTCAGACTGAACCAGGTGACTGTAATGAAGATGGATAAGGACGTCCTAAAATGCAACGCTTCTTTTAAATATCCTATCTTATAAATGCACTGTGTATAGGTAGATGATGTGCTCAAAGCACAGAGGGATTCCTAGGGAATGCACAAAGGTAAATATGGGAGACTCTGAGCTAGCCTAAAAACTGTTTTGCTTTTTTCTCAACATATAGGATCTATTTTTTGAATTTTAACTTTTGAACCTATTTCTCTTAGTGATAAACTGAATCTCTACACAATATGTTTTCATTATAGCTATACAACTCTTAAGGCTTTTAAAGAGTAATGTAGAATATTTGCAACACAATTTTCTATGCACTTTTTTGAAAAACAGTGGATTTTTGTTCTTTTGTTGAGAGATGAATTGTTTGCTGTCCACTTAGGCAGAGAAAATTCATGGCCAACAAATTCATTACAAGTTTTGAGGTCTTATATTAGAGAGAGAAAAAGATATAGGATATCTAAAACCATACAAACTCAAATTTAGGGGCCAGACTCAAACTGATGGTTGTGGTCTAGATAGAAGCAATAAGAAGGCTAATCTTTAGTTCTTCATCTCTGGCACTGTCATAAAAAGTGACACCAGTAGTCCTGATCAGACCTGGAGTTTCATTTCCCATGTTAAACAACACCATACCCAGAAGAGAACTGGTCAAAAGAAAGTCAGTAATAATTTTTGTTAACGGTATTGATAAAAGTCAGATATTTCAATCCTGCTCAGATCAGTTATTTCCGGTGGCATCACACACTGTAAGGTCTGACTTTCATTGGCCTGACAGTCATCTATAGTTATCTTTCAACATAATTATTTTGTTTTGAGTTCATGGCTCATAAATATTAATTTTCTATAGCTGTTTAAATTGCTGTGTGTTGTTTTACTTAATTATATAGGTGGAAAAAAGTAACTTTAAGGCATTTGTGATATTTACTCCTTTATCTTATTGATTCAGTGTTTTCAGTATGTTTTTGTTCTATGTATTGAAGGTGACAGCAGAGGTTGGAAAACTTCTTGGTGAAGAAAAGGTGGATGCGATCTTGTGTGTAGCAGGAGGATGGGCTGGAGGCAGCGCCAAAGCCAAATGTAAGATTTTGGTAGATGTGTGCTGGTGAAAACATGAATGATATCTGAAAGGAATCCTTAAAAATTGTGGTAATAAAGGTATTTGAGATTATCTTTCTTTCTGAGTCCAGAAGAGGACAAGAGCATAAAAGTACAAAATAGCTTAGTCACAGTGCTTCTTAGTGCTTCTCTGAATTTTCTTTGCCTGTTAAATTTGCACAGCACTTCGTTTCCTTAGTGGTGTTTGTTGACACACCAATTTTTATTAAAATGGAGGAGTTTCAGCACTGTTAAGCTGACTTTGCCCAGGTTACCTGTGTCAGGCAAGTTGCGAAAGACAGTGCTGAGTAGAAACATCGATGTTTCCCGATTAATTCCTTTATGAATAGAAGCTCAGTTGCCTCCTGCAGTTCTCTGAGCTGTTGCTGTGCAATACAATATTGGAAGGCACTGCCTAGTGACCCAAAATCATGCTACAGACAAAGCCCTTCAGATTAAAAAAGGCTTTTAAACTTGTAATGTTCAGAGTGAAATTTTATACTTTACCCACCACTGTAGAGATACAGGAAAAAAATAGCCTTGTTTTCGGTCTGGAGTAAATCTGGTAAAATGTGTCCTTCTCTTCTCCTTTCCGGTTCAGACATTACAGGCTCAAAGCAAAAGAAGATACAAAAGACATAAATGGATATTTTACAGTGTGAAAGTAGAAAATGGTAGAAAGCATGTTGTCATAGTGCTTTTGCACTTCGTGGGACGCTAAGAAAACTGGAATTAGAGGTCTTCCACCTTTTAGCTAATTTCACTAATTCTCTTTCTAATCAGCTTTATACAAAAACTGTGATCTGATGTGGAAGCAGAGTGTTTGGACATCGACTATTTCCAGCCACCTAGCAACAAAACATCTGAAGGAAGGCGGTCTCTTGACTCTCACAGGAGCTCAAGCTGCTTTATCTGGAACCCCAGGTAAAATGCAATGCATGATATCCCTGCACCGTGGCTGCAGGGACAACAGCAGTTAGAGATGTCTGTTCGTCTGAGCATTCTTGTTTGTGAAGCAGCAGTTTCTCTCCCCAGTTGCTTGACTTCTAGTACAAATGGAAAATTGCTGCTGAAATATGTAGGGGAAGTGTAATTTTGTAGTTAGCAATACTGAATTTCTCAAAGCTGGAGTGCAAACACATAAAATCAGTATTTAAATAATATTTTACATGATTTGGTGAAATGTACTTGGCTAATATATGATATAGGAAAAAATGTTTGGAAATGAAGACTAGAAGCACACAGCAATCTGTAAATCTTTAGATTAAGTTAATTTTCCTATTTGTGTTCTTAAAGATAGAGTCCTTATTTGACCAATTTTTCTGTTGGTGATGACTCAACTGATTCTGATTACTGTGCTTGTCCTGTTCATGTCCTTATTCCAGTCTACCTTTGCTTCAGACATAGATAAGCATGTTGACTGTTGGCTTTGCCCTCTGCTAGCTATTTAATATGGACTTTATTGGATTTTTAATCTCGCTCCTTAACCGTGTTGATCTGCATGGAGGAAGAAATCTGGGAGCAATTTAAAATCAGAAAAAAAAAAGGCACTGACACACAAGCCCACAGGTAGCAAGAGGAAAGTTTGAGACAAATACTCCTATTTCCCAATCTTTTATTAGTGTCACTTCAACAATATTTTTATGAGACACAAATACTAAGATTTTAAAACATATGCAATATATGAATATAAAACTGTTCAGGAAAACTGAATTTATGAATATAAAACTTTTCAGGAAAAATATGCTATATTTTCTAGTTAATGGTTTCTCTTCTGTGTTTACAGCTGCATCTGTTATAGTCCAAAGATAAAAGGCATAATTTACAATGTACAGCTGACTGACCACATAAAAATGAAAAAATGTTAATTCTGACAAACTTTCATGGTTTTGGTTTGTGTGGTTTTGGGAGGTAGGGACCACAACACAGGAATCAAAGTGATTTGCTTTCCTGTTTTGAACTAGCTGGTTTCAGCTAGTCTGGATTTTTCTAAAAATCACAGCAGTGCTTAGGGCAAACACATGCAACTTATTAACTTCAGGAAGAATTGGGAAAGAGTTGTTACTCAATTTCTGCAAATATGCCTTGCTAGGCTTGTTACTACCAGCCATTCTGGAAGAAACAGTGTTTTTCTTGTTTGCTGTTAGTGTTACCTTTCTTTTCCTATGAGAAAATGTCTCAGATAATGCAAGCTGAAGAACGCTGAAAATCGCATTAATAGTTACAGCAGCAGTGTGATAGTGATGGCTAAGAAATGTATTAAGCATGAAAAGATTTAAGAAGACTTAGAGTGCTTGGTTTAGACAAGACGAGAATATGATAGAGTTGCAAATATTTTTATCATGACAATAAAATAAGTTAGC